CGGTTACCCTTATTGTTTGTGTTCGCGATATCTTCTAAACTATTAGTCCAATTTAAATACTGTTAAGAACAATTTTATTCTACATTAAATTCTCCTGATAACAAGCGCATTTATTTGGATAAGGATTAATAATGAAACCAATAAAAGAACGCTGCAAATAGCGTGAGGTTTTTAATTCATTTTGTAAACAAAAAAGTTGTTATTGTAAAAAAACCGTTAAAGATAGATATATGCTACCGCGGACTTTTCCGTAGAACTTTTTGAGATCTACAATTCTTTCATACATCATTTTTATGTACCTCTAACGGTTTAGGCAGCGTAAGCCGAGAAAAGTTAAAGTTAAGTGAAGTTTTAACGCCGGTGTCCGGAAACACGCTATTTATTAATAGTTCCTAAACATTAGTAATAATAAAATATAGCCTATGTACTCATAGATAAATTACCTTTCTGTTGGTGAAAGAATTAAAATCGGTCCAGTAGTTATTTAGTGATTTTTAAATACATACAAAAATACAAAGTATTCCTCTTTATAACATTGGTAGATATAAATTAGTATAGATAATGACGACGTAAAATTATGTAACAAATGTAATTGAAACAATAATAATGATAAGTAACCTTTGAAAGTAATGAGGAATACAAATTTGTATTAGAACGTGATGGTCGATAACATTTTAGTTAATCACAATGAATCGCTTTTGTTTGGCAATGAATTGCAATGATAGACCGAAAATAAATTAAGCAAGTCACATCAACAGACCCATGAGTCATAAATAGGAAAAAAATGTATAATTAACTCTGTACCTATTTTATAATCACACTTGACGGATGTTCGACATATATTTGACTAAGACCTGGATATTTTAGACCTAGAAGAAGGACGTTAGTTATGAATGTGGAGGAGTACACCGGTAGAGGTATACCTAGAAAGAGATGGATGGATTGCGTGAAAGGTGACATCATAAGAAGGGTGATGACTGAGATGACGGATGATAGAGTTATTTGGAGGACGAAAACCCGGTGCACCGATCCTATGGGAGTAGGATAAGGCAGGGGAGATGATGATTTTTGACCTAGATATTTCTTACTATACTCTACTATTGTTTGTCGATACTTTCAGATGCTAATATATTAAGATATAGCAGAAGCCATATTATATTTATTTACTTTTAAATCCACAAAATTAGTCCAACTTTACCTGCAAGGAAATCTGCTAACGCTTCTAAATCGCAGCGTTAAGCATCAGTTATCTCTTTGCTCGTTGGCAATATCATGCTCTATGACAAAATGCTTAATCACTTGTGTTGTGCAAAGTCATGTTTATTAACGAATTTATTATTTTTACTTACATATCGTTACGGGCACAACTCATTTATACTTTTCTATCTATATATACGTAACATTTGCTACAAAAATTTACATTTTATAATAGTTAGTACAGTGAAGTGTAAATAAAAATGTACACTTATTT